GAGGCCGGCGTCGGCCAGTTACGGACGCACGCCGTCTTCTCCGGGTCCATGGCGACCCCTTCCGAACTGACAATGTGGCCCAAATAGCGCACAGATCGTTGCAACAGGTGACACTTTTTGGGCTTAAATTTCAAATTGGCGGAACGCATTCTAGCAAACACCGCGTCCAACCTCCGCAGATGTTCCTCAAACATGCGGCTGAAGACGATAACATCGTCTAAGTATATCAAGCACTTCTCCCACTGCAGACCCGGTAACACGAGCTCCATCAACCGCTGGAATGTTGCGGGGGCGGCGTTCAAGCCCATGGGAAGACAATTAAACTGAAACAATCCCTGCGGCATCCGGAAAGCCGTCTTTTCCCTCGAGGACTCGTCCAGGGGAAGTTGCCAGAATCCCGATGAGAGATCAAGAGTAGAAAAAAAATTCGCCCCAGACAAGGCATCGAGGGAATCATCCATACGCGGCAGGGGGTACGCGTCCGCAACCGACACCTTATTTAATTTGCGAAAATCAACACAAAACCGCAACTTCCCATCCTTCTTTTTCACAAGGACCACCGGCGCGCCCCACGGACTGTTGGACGGGGAAATGATGTCAGCGGCCAACATCTCCTCGACTGCGCCGCGAATGTGATCCCGCTCCGGCGGACTCAACCGATGCGGGTTCATCCAAATCGGAGCAGCATCACCCGTATCAATGTGGTGGGAGAGCAAGGAGGTGCGACCCAAATCGAAATCGTCCGCACTAAAGACGTCGGAATACCTTCCCAACAGCGCGCGAAGCGCGGACCGCTGGTCCCCAGTCAAAGACGCATTTTCCCGACACAACTCGGCAATCCATCGATCGTCCTGTGACGTGGAGGCCAAAACTCCCCCCACAAGGCCCCGGCGGCCCTGATCGTCATGGCTTGTGAAGGCAGTCGTAGCATGAGCCAAAACCGTTCCGGCCGGTACAACAACATTATCCACACTCCCATTCAACACCTGTAAAAACGGAGGTTGACCCGGCCGGACAATCGTCTGTGCCCCGACCAGCGTCAAGCCACCCGTTATAGCAGTGGACGGTGATAACAAAACACCCGCCGCACCCTCGATGCCAGGCACCGGTTTTCGATACCGCAGTGGAATAAGCATCTGCGAGCCAGGCGGAATATCCACCGATACCTCGGACAGCGCCTGTACCTGACGGTCAGGAGCTGTCTGGCCCCAGGGTGACGGCAAGAATGAAATCTGCCGACCCCCCGGCAATTCGATACAATTGTGATCCACTCTTATCTGAATGGGCATCTTGGCCAGGAAATCGGTCCCCAACAAACAGGCCACCGCGAGGGACCTGGAAATCAATACGGTCCCTGAAGCCGAAACACCCCCAACCAATATACTGGCGTCCACCTGACCCACAATGCCCATACTACCCCCGTTCGCCGCTATGCAAGAGTCGTATACCGGCCGCACCCGCCCCGGCGGAATGGACAAGAGATGGAATATTACATCGGAGATAATAGTTGCGGACGCACCCGAGTCCACCAAAATGCGTACGTCGATCCCTTGGATCGAACCCGGCACGGTCGACGACCCAGTTGTGGCCGCAACCACCCGTCGTGCCAATTTTCGCCACTGTGTCAGAGAGCGACGCGGATTACTAAGCGCCCCCCCGTTAGTACTGGCACCCGGTCCGCATGGCGATGGTGTTGCATGAGATGACAGGCCTTGCCGGGTGTCTGATGCGTACCGACTTGCCTGTCGTGGGTGTTCCTGCCGCGTCGCGTCCTTGACCGAGGCCTCCTGCTGGGGCGGCTGGCGAATGCGAGCCCAACATTCTCTGGCGAAGTGGCCCTTACGACCGCAGCGGAAACACGCAAAGTCGGCTCGCCGTGCAGCACCCCCTCTGTCTTGGCGCTCCCGCACCGGCGGCACGGATGGCAATTCCGCTCCCCCTCGAGCAGGCCACTGGGTCGATGCTGCCGTCAGCTCCTCAGGACCCTTCTCGTCACGAACATAGACGGCCTTCTTCGGGTCCCACCCTATTGCTCCGCCTTCGACGGTGGGGCTCCCCGTCCAAGTCGTCACCTGTTTCCACCGGCGAAGGTTGAATTGGGCATCCAGGCACTTGGCCGCCATCCGGGACGTTAACTTATCGTGGCTGCACACCGGCATGGGGATGCCCAAATCCCTGGATAACTCCAACATTTTACCCAGTATCAGGGGTTCCAACAAGTCGGGCTCCGTCTCCGGATACGCGGCCATAGCTAGCTCCAACACAGTGCCCCAGAATGCCACTGGCGATTCTTCAGGTGCCCGTTGCCGCTGCACGAACCTGCGATGTGCATCGTCCGGGGGCTCATACGCTTCCGCCATTTCTTCAAACACCCCCTGTAGCGTCGTCTTCTTTGCGGCCTTGATGGAGCGGAAGAACCTGACGGACTCGTCGTCAAGAAGCGTTGGCAAGACCTCCAAGGCTTCCGCATCCATCCATTTTGCGGATCGTACCACCGCTTGAAAACGGCAGGCGAAGGCGCTCCAATCTCCGCCAATGGAGAACTCTTTCACAGTCGTTAGACGATGGCTGCGGGTCCCCACACCGCCATCATCCGCCGAAGGTGATCCATGCGGCAGCGACAAGATGGCGTCACTCTGCAATGTGTTCAAAATGGCGGCTCCCCGTCGTTCGTCCCCGACCGCGCCCAAGATGGCGGCTTCCCGCGGTGGAGGCAGCAAGATGGCGGCTTCCCGCCGTTCCTCTCCGGCCACGCCCAAGATGGCGGCTTCGTGCCGCGTGGTTGAGAGGGTTGGAAGTGTCGGCAAGGCCCCACTCGGATGCTCCCCGCTTGGCCTCCCCGGACTCGTCGTGGGCGTCACCAGGGTGCATAACTGCGTTAAAACAAGTTGGGCCGCCACGTGTCGCCATCCTTCCTCGGCGCCCACCAACGCAGACGGTCCTGCTGCTCCGGTAACATCTTGCACTCCCGGCACGTCGCCCCCGTCTTCTATCGTCGGTAGCGCCACCGCCAGAGAAGGATCGTCGTCGTCTTCAGAAGATGGTGCAGAAGATGGTGCAGAAGATGGTGCAGGTATGTTCTTTCTTCTGAGGACTCTTAGGCGATGTTGGTCTCCGTCTGTCCTTTATTGGGTTCTTGTTTCGCACCCCGCGATGTCCCCGATCGGACCCGCACCTCTTCCGTCGCGTGCTCCCCCGCACGCCGTTCGAGTTCTCCGCTCTCTCTCTCTGCAGCCACACTGCTGCCCGTGTGCCCCGCACACTCTGCAGCCACTCCGCTGCTCCACATCCACCGCTGGCCGACGGTGCCGTGACTCCAACCGCATGGCAATTCGTGCCACTCCTCCGCCAGCACTCCGCGTGGCCTCCCCCTATCTTCACTCTCTCCCCACTCCCGATCCCCTTCCGGTTCTCGTCCTATATCCTCCTCCTCATGTGACCCTGACTCCTCCTCCTCCTCACGTGAACCTGAACCCGCCCCCACTCACCCCGCGACCAGGCTCCACCTCCCCTAATACCCCGGCCCACGTGAGTGGTGCGAAGGCAGCGCCACCCTTTCCTTGCTCGCATTACAGATACATTCACCAGCAGATACATTCACCAGCAGATACATTCACCAGCAGATACATTCACCAGCAGATACATTCACCAACAGATACATTCACCAACAGATACATTCACCAGCAGATACATTCACCAGCAGATACATTCACCAGCAGATACATTCACCAACAGATACATTCACCAACAGATACATTCACCAACAGATACATTCACCAACAGATACATTCACCAACAGATACATTCACCAGCAGATACATTCACCAGCAGATCTACCTACCAGGTGATGGCCACAGGGGCAGGGACTCCTTGTACCACGTGATGCGGGGCTCTGGGTAAGCGTTGCGCACGTAACATTCACCGATCTGCAAGAGAGGGAAACAGACCAACACACAAAACAAAGAACCCCCGTATAGCCTTAACAGACTGTAGGGGCAAGTGCTGTTAGCGAGCACTTATGAAGGCCAGAACGGCACACGAGGGGGTGGGTGGCCAGCACCACGCCTGGCCGCCTTTGTCTCCCCGGTGGCGATGTTTTCACGTACTGCTACTACTCTACTATACACTACTCTACTATACACTACTATACACTACACCACTATACACTACTATACTATATACTACTCTACTATACACTACACTACTATACACTACACTACTATACACTACTATACTATACACTACTATACACTACACTATACACGACACTATACACTACACTACTATACACTACACTATACACTACACTACTATACACTACACTATACACTACACTACACTATACACTACACTACTATACACTACACTATACACTACACTATACACTACTATACACTACACTATACACTACACTATACACTACACTACTATACACTACACTATACACTACACTACTATACACTACACTATACACTACACTACTATACACTACACTATGCACTACACTATACACTACTATACTATACACTACACTATACACTACACTACTATACACTACACTATGCACTACACTACTATACACTACTATACACTACACTACTATACACTACACTATACACTACTATACACTACACTAAACACTACTATACTATACACTACACTATACACTACACTACTGTACACTACACTACTATACACTACACTATACACTACACTACTATACACTACACTACTATACACTACACTATACACTACTATACACTACACTATACACTACTATACACTACACTATACACTACACTACTTGGAGGGGAAAAACCTGAAAGATCCAGAGACAAACGCCGCAAATATAGAGCAGCAGCAGTAGTAGTAGCAGCAGTAGCAGCAGTAGTAGTAGCAGCAGCAGCAGCAGTTGTCCATGTCGGGATCGAACCCACCACCTCCTGTGTACCAGGCGAGGTAGTCAACATCTCCTAACTAAAACTAAACCACGTTTGAATCTATGCACGAATCGGTGGCGTCGACAGCGACGCCTTTAAGGTAACAAAAACCACCGGCAGCAGGGAACGGAGAAATAAACAGGATAATTGTTTTTTTTACCCTTCTATCTGGCAACAAAACTGACACCTTTTTACAAGGAGTCATGTTTGCATAGACCACAATACCTGCAGTCATAATGCAAAAAAAACACAACTCTGATAATGTATGCACTGTCCTTGAAGTTGATTGGTCCACACCCGAGACAGCTTTCCTTAGAGCCTAGTCTCACATGGGTTGGACCAGATGATACCAAAAGGCGCACAACTCAAAGACAATGCACCATCAGAGTATGAGAGCTCGGGGCAAGCATTTACACCATTGGAACCTGATTTGCTAGTAAAAAATATGATAATTATTTTTTAACCCTTCTACCTGGCAACAAAACTGACACCTTTTTACAAGGAGTCAAGTTTGCATAGACCACAATACCTGCAGTCATAATGCAAACAAAAAACATAACTCTGATAATGTATGCACTGTCCTTGAAGTTGATTGGTCCACACCCGAGACAGCTTTCCTTAGAGCCTAGTCTCACGTGGTGTTGGACCAGATGACGCCACAAGGCGCACAACTCAAAGACAACGCACCATCAGAATATGAGAGCTCGGGGTGAGCCAGACTTTGAAACGAAACAATGTCCACGTAGGCCGAGGGCTCACCTTGAGGTGCTGCTGGTGGAGCATCACGGGCCTCTGGGTGGACGCCACGGCCACCGTGGGGGCCGCTGGGAGGGAGACGAGGGGAGGGGGGGCGGGGGGGAGGGGCGCTCCCTAAGTCAAAGGTCGCGGGCTCGTCATCCGCCATTTGCTTGCGAGTCCAACTTGACTCCGAAACGTCGTGTAGTAGTGTATAGTGTAGTGTGTAGTGTAGTGTATAGTAGTGTAGTGTATAGTGTAGTGTATAGTAGTGTGTAGTGTATAGTGTAGTGTATAGTGTAGTGAAAAGTAGTGTGTAGTGTATAGTAGTGTATAGTAGTGTGTAGTGTATAGTGTAGTGTATAGTAGCGTGTAGTGTATAGTTTCTGTCCCAACGTCCGTAAGTAGGGGAGTCCTCGTAGCAACGTCCGTAAGTAGGGGAGTCCTCGTAGCAACGTCCGTAAGTAGGGGAGTCCTCGTAGCAACGTCCGTAAGTAGGGGAGTCCTCGTAGCAACGTCTGTAAGTAGGGGAGTCCTCGTAGCAACGTCCGTAAGTAGGGGAGTCCTCGTAGCAACGTCCGTAAGTAGGGGAGTCCTCGTAGCAACGTCCGTAAGTAGGGGAGTCCTCGTAGCAACGTCCGTAAGTAGGGGAGTAGTAAGTAGCCCCGGCGGTGCTGGACCGTGCGCTTGCTTACAAAACACCCGCACGCTTGCGGTGGCCTCGGCCACGCCGGCGCGCCCCGCCAGCGCCTGGCAGACGAAGTCGCGATCGTCAGCGGCCACCGTCGCGCTCAGCGCCAGCGCGGAGTCGCTGCGCCGAGCGTCGATGCGACTCTCGTAGCCGGTGCCCACGTCCGCCACGAAGAGTCGCGCGTCGCGGTACGAGATCCTCGTTCGCGAAGATCGTGAAATCTGTGCCGGGGGGGGGGTTGGAGTCTATGGGTAGCAGTGTTGAGTCTATGTAGCAGTGTTGAGTCTATGGTGCAGTGTTGAGTCTATGGTGCAGTGTTGAATCTATGATGCAGTGTTGAGTCTATGGTGCAGTGCTGTGTCTATGGTGCAGTGTTGAGTCTATGGTGCAGTGTTGAGTCTATGGGCAGTGTTGAGTCTATGGGCAGTGTTGAGTCTATGGGTAGTGTTGAGTCTATGGTGCAATGTTGAGTCTATGGGCAGTGTTGAGTCTATGGTGCAGTGCTGTGTCTATGGTGCAGTGTTGAGTCTATGGTGCAGTGTTGAGTCTATGGTGCAGTGTTGAGTCTATGGTGCAGTGTTGAGTCTATGGTGCAGTGTTGAGTCTATGGTGCAGTGTTGAGTCTATGGTGCAGTGTTGAGTCTATTGTGCAGTGTTGAATCTATGATGCAGTGTTGAGTCTATGGTGCAGTGTTGAGTCTATGGTGCAGTGTTGAGTCTATGGTGCAGTGCTGTGTCTATGGTGCAGTGTTGAGTCTATGGTGCAGTGTTGAATCTATGATGCAGTGTTGAGTCTATGGGGCAGTGTTGAGTATATTGTGCAGTGTTGAGTCTATGGGTAGTGTTGAGTCTATGGTGCAGTGTTGAGTCTATGGGCAGTGTTGAGTCTATGGTGCAGTGCTGTGTCTATGGTGCAGTGTTGAGTCTATGGTGCAGTGTTGAGTCTATGGTGCAGTGTTGAGTCTATGGTGCAGTGTTGAGTCTATGGTGCAGTGTTGAGTCTATGGTGCAGTGTTGAGTCTATGGTGCAGTGTTGAGTCTATGGTGCAGTGTTGAGTCTATTGTGCAGTGTTGAATCTATGATGCAGTGTTGAGTCTATGGTGCAGTGTTGAGTCTATGGTGCAGTGTTGAGTCTATGGTACAGTGTTGAGTCTATGGAGCAGTGTTGAGTCTATGGTGCAGTGTTGAGTCTATGGTGCAGTGTTGAGTCTATGGGCAGTGTTGAGTCTATGGGCAGTGTTGAGTCTATGGGTAGTGTTGAGTCTATGGTACAGTGTTGAGTCTATGGTGCAGTGCTGAGTATATGGGCAGTGTTGAGTCTATGGGCAGTGCTGAGTCTATGGTACAGTGTTGAGTCTATGGTACAGTGTTGAGTGTATGGGCAGTGTTGAGTCTATGGGCAGTGTTGAGTCTGGGCAGTGTTGAGTCTATGGGCAGTGCTGAGTCTATGGGCAGTGTTGAGTCTATGGTGCAGTGCTGAGTCTATGGGCAGTGTTGAGTCTATGGGTAGTGCTGAGTCTTTGGGCAGTGTTGAGTCTATGGGCAGTGCTGAGTCTATGGGCAGTGTTGAGTCTATGGGTAGTGTTTAGTGTATGGGCAGTGCTGAGTCTATGGGCAGTGTTGAGTCTATGGGCAGTGTTGAGTCTATGGGCAGTGTTAAGTGTATGGGCAGTGTTGAGTCTATGGGCAGTGTGAGTCTATGGGCAGTGTTGAGTGTATGGGCAGTGTTGAGTCTATGGGCAGTGTGAGTCTATGGGCAGTGTTGAGTCTATGGGCAGTGTGAGTCTATGAGCAGTGTTGAGTCTGTGGGCAGTGTTGAGTCTATGGTGCAGTGCTGTGTCTATGGTGCAGTGTTGAGTCTATGGTGCAGTGCTGAGTCTATGGTGCAGTGTTGAGTCTATGGGCAGTGTTGAGTCTATGGGCAGTGTGAGTCTATGAGCAGTGATGAGTCTATGGGCAGTGTGAGTCTATGGGCAGTGTTGAGTCTATGGGCAGTGTGAGTCTATGAGCAGTGATGAGTCTATGGGCAGTGTTGAGTCTATGGTGCAGTGCTGTGTCTATGGTGCAGTGTTGAGTCTATGGTGCAGTGCTGAGTCTATGGTGCAGTGTTGAGTCTATGGTGCAGTGTTGAGTCTATGGTGCAGTGTTGAGTCTATGGTGCAGTGTTGAGTCTATTGTGCAGTGTTGAATCTATGATGCAGTGTTGAGTCTATGGTGCAGTGTTGAGTCTATGGTGCAGTGTTGAGTCTATGGTGCAGTGTTGAGTCTATGGAGCAGTGTTGAGTCTATGGTGCAGTGTTGAGTCTATGGTGCAGTGTTGAGTCTATGGGCAGTGTTGAGTCTATGGGCAGTGTTGAGTCTATGGTACAGTGTTGAGTCTATGGTGCAGTGTTGAGTTTATGGGCAGTGTTGAGTCTATGGGTAGTGTGAGTCTATGGGTAGTGTTGAGTCTATGGTACAGTGTTGAGTCTATGGTGCAGTGCTGAGTATATGGGCAGTGTTGAGTCTATGGGCAGTGCTGAGTCTATGGTACAGTGTTGAGTCTATGGTACAGTGTTGAGTGTATGGGCAGTGTTGAGTCTATGGGCAGTGTTGAGTCTGTGGGCAGTGTTGAGTCTATGGGCAGTGTTGAGTCTATGGTGCAGTGCTGAGTCTATGGGCAGTGTTGAGTCTATGGGTAGTGCTGAGTCTATGGGCAGTGTTGAGTCTATGGGCAGTGCTGAGTCTATGGGCAGTGTTGAGTCTATGGTGCAGTGCTGAGTCTATGGTGCAGTGTTGAGTCTATGGGGCAGTGTTGAGTCTATGGTGCAGTGCTGTGTCTATGGTGCAGTGTTGAGTCTATGGTGCAGTGCTGAGTCTATGGTGCAGTGTTGAGTCTATGGGCAGTGTGAGTCTATGAGCAGTGTTGAGTCTATGGGCAATGTTGAGTCTATGGGCAGTGTTGAGTCTATGGGCAGTGTTGAGTCTATGGGTAGTGTGAGTCTATGGGCAGTGTTAAGTGTATGGGCAGTGTTGAGTCTATGGGCAGTGTGAGTCTATGGGCAGTGTTGAGTGTTTGGGCAGTGTTGAGTCTATGGGCAGTGTGAGTCTATGGGCAGTGTTGAGTCTATGGGGAGTGTTGAGTCTATGGGCAGTGTTGAGGCTATGGGCAGTGTTGAGTCTATGGGCAGTGTTGAGTCTATGGGCAGTGCTGAGTCTATGGGCAGTGTTGAGTCTATGGTGCAGTGCTGAGTCTATGGGCAGTGTTGGGTCTATGGGCAGTTTTGAGTCTATGGGTAGTGCTGAGTCTATGGGTAGTGTTGAGTCTATGGTGCAGTTTTGAGTCTATGGGTAGTGCTGAGTCTATGGGTAATGTTGAGTCTATGGGCAGTGTTGAGTCTATGGGTAGTGTTGAGTCTATGGGCAGTGTTGAGTCTATGGGCAGTGTTGAGTCTATGGGTAGTGTTGAGTCTATAGGCAGTGTTGAGTCTATGGGTAGTGTTGAGTCTATGGGCAGTGTTGAGTCTATGGGTAGTGTTGAGTCTATGGGCAATGTGAGTCTATGGGCAGTGTTGAGTCTATGGGCAGTGTTGAGTATATGGGCAGTGCTGAGTCTATGGGTAGTGTTGAGTCTATGGGTGGCAGTGTTGAGTCTATGGGCAGTGTTGAGTCTATGGGCAATGTGAGTCTATGGGCAGTGTTGAGTCTATGGGCAGTGTTGAGTATATGGGCAGTGCTGAGTCTATGGGTAGTGTTGAGTCTATGGTGCAGTGTTGAGTCTATGGGCAGTGCTGAGTCTAGGGGCAGTGCTGAGTCTATGGGTAATGTTGAGTCTATGGGCAGTGTTGAGTCTATGGGTAGTGTTGAGTCTATGGGCAATGTGAGTCTATGGGCAGTGTTGAGTCTATGGGCAGTGTTGAGTCTATGGGCAGTGCTGAGTCTATGGGCAGTGTTGAGTCTATGGGTAGTGTTGAGTCTATGGGCAGTGTTGAGTCTATGGGCAGTGTTGAGTCTATGGTGCAGTGTTGAGTCTATAGGCAGTGTTGAGTCTATGTAGCAGTGTTGAGTCTCTGAGCAGTGTTGAGTCTATGGTGCAGTGTTGAGTCTATGGGCAGTGCTGAGTCTATGTGTAACAGTGTTGAGTCTATGGGTGACAGTGTTGAGTCTATGGATCTCAGTGTGAGTCTATGGGTGACAGTGTTGAGTCTATGGATCTCAGTGTGAGTCTATGGGTGACAGTGTTGAGTCTATGGGTAACAGTGCTGAGTCTATGGGTAACAGTGCTGAGTCTCTGGGCAGGGCATACGACGTACGTATCCGAGCATGACAAGCGGCGGTGTGCGTGTGGGTGGTGAGGTGGGGGTGGCGCTACTCACGATGAACCACTGGGTGACCACGTGGTCGCCCACGGAGCTGGTGACCGTGCAGGGGATCACCAGCGGACTTCCCAGCTCCACCTCCATCAGCGGGGTCACCGCCACTGAGATCGCCGCTTCGACGCCTGCGGCGATGACGGTCATCGCACGCAAGTCACGCTGCAGTCTGTGTATAGTGGTGTAGTGTATAGTGTAGTGTATAGTAGTGTAGTGTGTAGTGTAGTAGTGAAGTGTACAGTAAACGGGGCTAGATGACGACTTACACGATGGAATCCACCGTGGTGCAGGCACCAACGAGCTCATCGTTGCGCGGAGCGTCGCCTGTCGCAGGAATCACAATCAGGACTCGTTCTTTTTTAAAGACTCCCAATCGTACAGCGCCAATTCGCGTGTGGGGGGGGCGGGGGGGGCGAATCTCCGCTTGTACAGATGACGATCGACACGATGAAGCCGCACGGTGTTGCCCTCGATCGGATGAGGGGGGAGGGGGGGATACTGCTGGATGCCGCCGCCGCCGCCGCTGGGACGATGTTCACGACGCGATCGTCACCTTGGAAGGAGACGCAGCAGGCGAGAAGCAGCACCGCGAGACGCCGTGGCAGCAACATGTTCTTGCTGCTGCTGCTGATGCTGATGATGATGCTGCTGCTGATGATGCTGCGACTGCTGATGATGCTGCTGCTGCTTGTGGAGCAGTGAAACCGCCGTGCCCGTCTCCTGCCGTCGTGAATCCTGTGTCGTGTTAAACATAATGCAAATGAACCTATGGAGGCAGCCTGGCGAACCGACTAATACAAAATACTTAGGACGGAGATGCGTTCTCACCGTAAGTGGAAGATGACCTCGCCTCCCCAGAGTTCGAAAGAATGGTGGTAATTTAGCAGAACAGAGCAATTCACAGTAGCGTGCTGTATAAACGATATACGTGTTTATTTAAATTTTTTTTTGTATCTCCCTTCTACGTGACTTTACCGAAGTAACCAAGAATATGAATCCCTGCAGTCACGAAAGCAGCTTTAAATCGAAATGTAAACTATACACTGTGTGTATTTATTAATTGCAATACTGTATTGCACAGTAAAATGTTAAGTAAAAAAAATCAATAAACAATAAGCAAGCAGGTGTAATCAATTCCGTCGTGTGTTCTAATCGCCCAGATCGCGCTGTGAGACGCACGTGCACGTGGCACCTTGACCAAGTCATTCAGGACATGTGAGCCACATCTCACGCCCCTCGCCCCCAGAGCCACGACACCATTCACCACCCTCGCCGATGGGATACACGTCGTCACCTCATCATCGTGTTGTCGATGACAGTCACTTCACACACATCGTGTTGTCAATGACAGTCACTTCACACACATCGTGTTGTCGATGACAGTCACTTCACACACATCGTGTTGTCGATGACAGTCACTTCACACACACATCGTGTTGTCGATGACAGTCACTTCACACACATCGTGTTGTCGATGACAGTCACTTCACACACATCGTGTTGTCGATGACAGTCACTTCACACACATCGTGTTGTCGATGACAGTCACTTCACACACACATCGTGTTGTCGATGACAGTCACTTCACACACACATCGTGTTGTCGATGACAGTCACTTCACACACACATCGTGTTGTCGATGACAGTCACTTCACACACATCGTGTTGTCGATGACAGTCACTTCACACACATCGTGTTGTCGATGACAGTCACTTCACACACATCGTGTTGTCGATGACAGTCACTTCACACACACATCGTGTTGTCGATGACAGTCACTTCACACACACATCGTGTTGTCGATGACAGTCACTTCACACACATCGTGTTGTCGATGACAGTCACTTCACACACATCGTGTTGTCGATGACAGTCACTTCACACACATCGTGTTGTCGATGACAGTCACTTCACACACACATCGTGTTGTCGATGACAGTCACTTCACACACATCGTGTTGTCGATGACAGTCACTTCACACACATCGTGTTGTCGATGACAGTCACTTCACACACATCGTGTTGTCGATGACAGTCACTTCACACACATCGTGTTGTCGATGACAGTCACTTCACACACACATCGTGTTGTCGATGACAGTCACTTCACACACACATCGTGTTGTCGATGACAGTCACTTCACACACATCGTCGTGCGGATCCACCTCGTCACGGGAGAGAACAGGACTCGCCAAATAAAAACGAAGCAATTGGCAACATTGTCACTGGTAGGAACCTCCTAGTTACACCAGCCCACAGGGGATTATTGTGTCCGTCCGTCCGTCGTGCAGGGAGGGGCTGGGTGGGGAGGGAGGGGCTGGGTGGGGAGGGGAGGGTGGGGAGGGGCTGGGTGGGGAGGGTGGGGCTGGGTGGGGGGTGGGAGGGGTGGGGCTGGGTGGGGAGGGAGGGGCTGGGTGGGGAGGGTGGGGCTGGGTGGGGAGGGGCTGGTCACCCCGTGGTGCCCTTCTAAAACTCAACGTTTCACCTACTCACGCCGGCTTGTGCCCTCCCTCACAGTCGGGCATATTTGCGGAATACACCACGCCGCCGTTGACCCTGGACATTGACCGAGCAACCCAAAGTTCCTAGCAGCTCCCTCCGCAGGAATGTGTTTCTGTTCAATTCCCATCACAACAACGGCAACAAGGAAATAACCTAAGAGTTAAATATTACCGCGTGATGGAATAAATTATCCTTCACTTGTTGCACTAAGTGGAGAGGAATTTACTGTTGCGTTGCACAATTCGTTGAACAAATTGTGATAGCCTTGTGACCTTTACCACTGACACATCGCCCCAAACAAGACGTACATCTTGATCTTGTTCAAGGGTTATTAAAGGCCCGAACATTACAACTCTGTGTGCGTTTTTTGGTGAGATTCATTTGGCAAGGGAAACTAGTTGGCGTTCCCTCTGCTCCACTCGCTTGCCACTTTGTCCTGCCACACCCACCCAGTGTGTCACAGCGCGAGTAGTCTGCCATCACGAACCAGAGGAGATGAATGATGAACATTTAACAGAGAAATGCAACATTTATGCCGGTCTTTGGAAACAGTTTTAAACAATCCAGGACGGTTTGCTTTCATGGAAACATTCCAACCGAGATTGTATTTGTTTGGGATGTCCCAGCGGCAGTCGAGGTTTTTGGCAATGATCTGCAGGGATGGTGCGTTTCTGTTCCTAGCCGCGAGGGCATATCCTTGTTACTGCGCCGTCCGTGAGCGTTGGTTCACGTTCCAAGCAGTGAGGAAGTCCGCTTATCTTGCTTAAGTTGTTGAGTTGCGTCGGCAATAAACTCAAAGGGCAACCTTACCCGGTAAATACAGTAAACCATCTAGTAAACCACTGTAGTCTTCGTTCCTGCAATGAAGGAATAACAAAGCTACACCAACTCTCTCCCGAAGCCCTCTTCTGGCTAGCAGACCTCGACGTTTTCATGTATCTCCTGAACATGTTGCCAGAATTGGAGTAAATTGTAATATGGTGCCACCTAGTGGCGATACAGCTCAGGTGAGTCTTTTATGTAAACAGGCGGCAAAGCCGAGTGAGAGATTCATGTTCATCATCATTGTCAACCAAGATTAAATCCAATGCTGGATGGAGGCCTCTCCAAGCTGTCATCATCACATTTTCTTGCAATGCAACAATTCACGGAGCACCTGCATACGAGCTGATTTCAGAGCTTTCCATCTTAGATCTTTAAAGGTGACTTTTGAAATAGTTTTTATACTCCTACTGGTGCAGTGTTGAGTCTGTGGGCAGTGTTGAGTCTGTGGGCAGTGTTGAGTCTGTGGGCAGTGTTGAGTCTATGGTGCAGTGTTGAGTCTATGGTGCAGTGTTGAGTCAATGGGCAGTGCTGAGTCTATGGACAGTGTTGTCATCACTATGAAATAAGTATACCAAGTTTGCAGTCGATACCACATTGGGAAGTGGGTTAAAATTGAGTTACAAGATTTGAGGATACAACAACAACGACAACAACGACAACGACAGCGTGTAAAATTGGAATCATGGAGAGTATTCTATATGAATAAAGTGCTCTACCTTACAGCATTTACCGTTATAAACATTGTTCATGGGTAGTAGTACCCCAGTAATTACCATGAAAATCGGATAATTTGTATAGGGTAAGGGTAAAAGTAGGCTCATTGTTTTTCTTACTCTTAGGTTTTTTTCGGTAAAGTCACGTAGGTTAAATAAGAAAAGTAAAATAATAATACGTGAAAATAAGTCGATGTATTTTTATTTTATTTTATTTTTTTTTTACTTTTTTACCGACGCGACTTTACCGAAAAACAACCCGCTAAGAGTATGAACCCTTGCAGTCACGAAAACTTCAAATCTAGAATCGCTGCTTTTCCCTTTAACCTCCACCTTGCCGGGGCCTACACGCACACACTCACCCCCCACTCGCTCGCTCACTCACCCACACAGCAGAAGGATGAGGTGGAGGTGGTGGTGATGAGAGGCTTGCCTGTGGAGGTGTCAGTCCCAGCACCACAGCAATGGTGGAGCAGCAGTTGCCCAGCTAGAAGCCAGCCAGCACCCAGCAGCTTGACTGCAGCAGCCTCTGTGTCCAGGGCTCCGTGTAGACTCAGCTCTGGTGACTCAACACGCCCCTTGCCAAGGGCTGGCTCGACTCTGGCGAATGGTCGATGGTTCCCGCTGAGCTGTGCGGATTTAAGCTTCACAATCATGGAATGCGTTGCGCACTACTCACGTCTAGAGTCAACATCGCGTAGGGTAGCCTCTGTCTACTGCTGGTGAGGAGGAGGGGTAGGGGGGGTGCGGGGGGGGGGCAGTGTGGAGTCTATGGTGCAGTGCTGAGTCTATGGGCAGTGTTGAGTCTATGGTCAGTGCTGAGTCTATGGGCAGTGTTGAGTCTATGGGCAGTGTTGAGTCTATGGGCAGTGCTGAGCCTATGGGTAGTGTTGAGTCTATGGGCAGTGTTGAGTCTATGGGCAGTGCTGAGCCTATGGGTAGTGTTGAGTCTATGGGTAGTGTTGAGTCTATGGTGCAGTGTTGAGTCTATGGTGCAGTGCTGAGTCTGTGGGCACGTGTTGAGTCTATGGGCAGTGTTGAGTCTATGGTGCAGTGTTGAGTCTATGGGCACGTGTTGAGTCTATGGGCACGTGTTGAGTCTAT